CCAGCTTGACCGCACATTCATTAAGCTGAATCCTCAATTTAATTTGTGGTGTACTGACAGGCCATTCAGCCTCATCATGTTGTTGGCTTGCTTGTGAACTGTGACAAGTCCAAAGATGGGCATAGAATACTGACCTCCAAAGGTGTTAAGCGTACAGGTCTGCATACTAGGCTCCTGCAAGTATTGCAGGAAATGAAAACGGCGTATTGTGCAAAATGATAGAGCATTGGTTTGGTATGGTTCTGGGTTTTTTGAATTATCTTGGTTTTTTACACCATCAGAATTAAACAAAAGTAACATTTTTTTCTAGCAATATGATGAGCATGAACCATGAAGAGTGAATATAGTCTTATCTGTGTGATCGTTGGGATGTAGGAGACCTTAAGTTTGCTGTGCTGTGGTCTGCATTAATTACTGTGTCATATGGAGTTGTTTCTCCTTCTTTGCTCTTCCTTGGGGCTGTCTGTCTGTAAGGTAGTTAGAAGAGATGTCCAGCACAAATGGTGCCTACTAGTGGTTGGAGCCTCTGGATGTTTCCCAACAACAAATAGTGATCAGTAGGGGTAGGTTTATTAAACACTCTTTAAAATCAGTCCCTGCTTTTTCTGAATGAGCATGTGCAGGATAATAAACTTCCCAGGCATTCTCAGTCTTCAGATAAGTACTTAATTTTTGCAGTGTACAGATAAGTGCCTACTAAATTACATTTAAAATTTCCAAAACAGGCTGGAGTGCTACACACAAAAACTTTCCCAGGATGTTAGGTGAATTTAAATGGAGAAATGTTTTTGTTTGTTGGTTTTGGGGTGGTTGTTTCCCCTCCCCCCTGCCAATAAATAAAGTTGTATGCCTTAATATGTTTTATTTTTTAGTAGATGGTGCTGGATTGATTTTCTGTCAAATGTCATTAACCTATACCTACAGGAGGCCTAATCTGCTACATAATCCAAACAGCCAAGTTTGTCAGGTTGTTTTCCTACTCCTGAGCAGACAATCAGTTGGTCAGTGCCACTGGCTTCCCTCCATTGTGCTTGTCATGTCTAGTCCTCGCTTCAGCTAGTTCTTTTCATATAAAAACACCTGAAGAACCAAGTAAAATGAAACCTGTTTCAAATCCACATGTGCAAGGGAAAATTTGAACTTTCTTAAATGAACGGCAATTTTCCCCGAAGTTTTCCAAATTGTCCAAATTCTGCTCTC